TCCTTTTCCTAGGGGTGAAACCAAATTTTGACAATGAGTATAAAGAGTTTCATTGCTTTTACAACCATTAAATCAGGGGGTGATTTGTATCAGGTGCTGTATTTTCATTTGGTAATGTCCAGAATGTTCTGGACGCTAGAGTCAAACCTGCAGGTTGGTACAAGATACAGACTCTGAGTATGATCTTTATTTCTGCCAGATCTCAAAGTACAGTGTTCTTGGGCTGTGCCCTAGACTTCCAGTGCATTTTTTTCTAATCTTCTTGAGACAGGGTTTTGATATACAGTTCAGGTTAGCCTTGAATTCACAGCAATCCTCCTGCCTCAGCCTTCCGCGTACTGGGATTACAGGCATGCATCACCACACCCGGCCTCCAGTGCTTTTATGAACTGAAGTTCTGATGTAATTTTTCTCACTTCCTGTACTACCAGTGAGAAAGCTTTACCGCCCTTTGATGCGAGGTATCCTGAAGTGGAATTTGAAGACCCCACTCTCCCTTTGTGGCCTGCTCTTATCCTGGGCAGCATTTTAAATCTGGGGCCAGTGCAGCCAACCTTGAGGCAAAGCACAGGGTCACTTTACCCTATAGTGGACGTCCTACTTACCTGCATGGTCTTAGAGGAAGAGCAGTGCACCTCTGGAGAAAAGTCCCAGTGACTCCTGTCCCATGTATCACTGGCCCACATGCCTTGCAAGCTTCATGGATTTCATGCTTAGAGCATCTAGGGCAGCTGCTCCCAACCTTTTGAGTACCAATTTTTGTGACAAATGATTCTTCCATGGGACAGAGTTGGTAGTGGCTTCTGGATTAGACTTCCAGGAAGAGCTCACATCCTGGGTCCCTCGCGTGCACAGTTCACAAAGCTTCCCACTCCTCTGAGAATTTAATGACACGGCAGATCTGACACACTCAGGTGATATTGCAAGCAATGATGAGTGGCTGTAAATAGAGACAAATCTTTTGGAGTTCACCTGCCACTTACCTCCTGCTGGGTGGCCTGGTCATTGGCCTGGAGTTTGAAGACCCCTGCTCTACAGAACAAACAAGCCATTTCTACAACAAAGATACAAAGATGCAGACACTTAGAACATCAAAGGGCAGCATCATTTTATATCTGCTTCCTAAGCACCTGAAAAGAATGCCCTCACGAGATAAAAGGCAGAACTGCTCATGTCCGCCTCTTTCATCTAAGACACACGGCAGCATGCAGTAGGGGAATCACACTGGGTTCATCTGTCACAAAATACCTGTGCAAATCAATCTAAAGGAGGAGCGATGCCTTTGTGCTCACAGTTTCCGAGGGTTCAGTCTGTGGTCAGATGGCTCTGTCGCTCTTAGGCCTATGGTGAGAGCACATGGTAGGAATTGTGTGGGGGAGCAGAGGTGCTCCTCTCTCGGTGGCCAGAAAGGAGAGGATGAAAGATGCTAAAAAAGGAAAGGAAGGGAAGGGTGAAGTGGTGGAAGGAGGGAGACACAGAAGAAGGGTAAAGGAGGAGGGAAAGTGAGGGGCAGGGAGCAATTGAGAGGAGCCAGAGCCCATGAACCATCCCAAGGTCACACCTGTTCCATTAGGCTCTAGCTGTCAATTTTCCATTACTTCTTAAAATTACATAAAAACCCTCATGATCCAATCACTTTCTAAAAGTCCATCAGCTGACAACCAAACCTTAGGCACATGGTCTTCAAGGGACATTTTAGAATCAAACCATAACATAAAACTAAAATTACAAGTAAGCATTGCAAGAGAGGTAGGACCTCAAGGGGCCAAGGAAAGGGCGAAGGAGTTGCAGAGAATCGTCTGTTTGCACCAGTGTCAACCTGCAAGAGAGGGGTGCTTTCTCTTCCTTCTGAAGACTCTCTGGGGCTCCTTTCCCTGGCTGTGTCTGTGATTCTTTTGAGAGACGAGGTTGATAGGTGTGATGCCTTGCCCTGCTGGGAAACTATCCCTGCAGAGGTGGCACAGAAACCTCAGAGCTTATCCATAATGAAGTACTCATGAGATGGCAAGCAAATCAGAGGATGGGAAATCCAGAAAACTAGCCTGGTCGGAGAAAGAGGTGACGAAGGAGTCGGGGGCTCATTTCAAACCAAGGGCTCCTTCCCACGCCAGCACGGCACACTTCCTGTCATGGACTGCATGGACATCTTCCTCCTGGTAGCAGTTCTCTGGGACACAATTTCTGCACTTGTGCAATCAGGGCTGTGAACCCAGTTCTCTGTAAAGTCCCTCTTTGCCCTGAAGTTCATGAGCCCTGCTTGTGAAAAGAATGAGAAAGGCAGGTGTTCAGAGAGAGGTTGGCAGGGGGGTGGTGTGTGATGGTCTCCAGGCTTTTCATACAGCAGTGAAGAGCCCCGTGAGCTACTGGGCATGGAGAAAACAGACAGACAGACGTGATGCTCAAAAGGCTGATCCAGTAGCAGAGTGTCCCGTGGAACACTAAGCAGGCACAGTAGCCCTCAGAGAAGCAAGCAGGGAGAGATGTGGCATCATTAGACCAGGGCATTGGATAAGCCTGGCAAGCCCAAGGCCCACACAGTGAGCTATGAGGGTGCCAGGACCAACTGAGAACTTGAGGGAGAAGCGGCTTAGAGGTAGGCCGTACGGCAGTGAGTCTGATTCTGATGTTTTGTTGGGGGAAAGTTAGAGCAAATTACATTGGTAAAATGTGGAAGGACACGGATTCCACAGAAATCAGAAATGTCTTAAGCCCATGTTTCCTGAGTACTTAAAAGGTGGCAGACATTGTGCTAAGTATTTTCTTCAAATTAAGGTGAAATTCACCCAACATAAAATTACCTACTTAATGTGAACAATTCAGTGGTATGTGGAACGTTTGTGACAGTATTTCCAGAGCTTGTCCTCACCCCATCAAAACACCCTGCACTCATTAAGCAATCACTCTATGCTTGCTCTCCACCTGCCTTTTGTCTCTGGCTTGGTCTATCCTGAACCATACGATATGTTGCCTTTTGTGACCTGCTGATCACACTCAACACATTGTAAAAGTCACCTGTGTTGTCCTATATGTTGTGGCTACATGACATTCCACCACACATATGAACCGCATCTGGCTTATCTGTTCATCCACAGCTGAACATTTGGGCTGCTTCTGCCTTTGGGCGATTTGGTGACTGCTGCTGTGAGGGTTTGTGTCATACATTGAATGTTTCTCCAGGCATCACTTGTTGCTTTCTGAAGCTACTGTCTCCCTCCTGGTGCCATGCCACTGGCCAGCTCGGGGGTAGGAATTTGATAGGGAGCTGTGTTCTGAGCACCCTGCCATCTATGGGGCTGGCACCAGTGTAAGACTATGGGATTAAAGTTCAGCCTGCTCACACAGAATTCCTAGGTCCATAGAACTCCTTAGATGGACTAAAACTCTTGATGCAGATGCTACCCCTGCATGTGCACTAAGAACCCGGAGAAAGATCACGGCACCTGGAGGGAAGGTTCTGAGGGACCCTTATCTCCCCACATAGGACTTCCCAGCTGAACTGGCACCGGATTCCCTCAGAGGCCACCCCTGCTGCTCACTGGGGGACTGCACGCTGTGGCCTGTTTCTTTCCTTCTCTCTCTCCAGACAGAGACTCAACAGCTGGCTCCTCACTGGAAACCCCCTAGATGCCCTCCTGGAGGGCAGGAAGTACGCATCAAGAGGCCTGGCTTTCTTCTGATTGAAGTTAAGTTTACAGGCAAATTTAAAAAGAACTTGAGCAATCAAGGATGTGCTCATTGGAACCACCTGAATGTGGGGACTGACACGGATATGTGCCCCGTTGGAGGAAAGGGGTTCCACATTTCTGGAAACCCACCTGGCAGTGCCCAGCCTGGACTACTCTGGAGCACCCTGGGGGGAGGTAGGACTCCTGGAGCACCCTGGGGGAGGTAGGACTCCTGGAGCACCCTGGGGGGAGGTAGGACTCCTGGAGCACCCTGGGGGGAGGGAGGACTCCTGGAGCACCCTGGGGGGAGGGAGGACTCCTGGAGCACCCTGGGGGGAGGTAGGACTCCTGGAGCACCCTGGGGGAGATAGGACTCCTGGAGCACCCTGGGGGGAGGTAGGACTCCTGGAGCACCCTGGGGGGAGGTAGGACTCCTGGAGCCCCCTGGGGGAGGTAGGACTCCTGGAGCACCCTGGGGGGAGGTAGGACTCCTGGAGCACCCTGGGGGAGGTAGGACTCCTGGAGCACCCTGGGGGGAGGTAGGACTCCTGGAGCACCCTGGGGGAGGTAGGACTCCTGGAGCACCCTGGGGGAGGTAGGACTCCTGGAGCACCCTGGGGGGAGGGAGGACTCCTGGAGCACCCTGGGGGAGGTAGGACTCCTGGAGCACCCTGGGGGAGGTAGGACTCCTGGAGCACCCTGGGGGGAGGTAGGACTCCTGGAGCACCCTGGGGGGAGGGAGGACTCCTGGAGCACCCTGGGGGGAGGTAGGACTCCTGGAGCACCCTGGGGGGAGGTAGGACTCCTGGAGCACCCTGGGGGAGGTAGGACTCCTGGAGCACCCTGGGGGGAGGGAGGACTCCTGGAGCACCCTGGGGGAGGTAGGACTCCTGGAGCACCCTGGGGGAGGTAGGACTCCTGGAGCACCCTGGGGGAGGTAGGACTCCTGGAGCACCCTGGGGGGAGGTAGGACTCCTGGAGCACCCTGGGGGGAGGGAGGACTCCTGGAGCACCCTGGGGGGAGGTAGGACTCCTGGAGCACCCTGGGGGGAGGTAGGACTCCTGGAGCACCCTGGGGGGAGGTAGGACTCCTGGAGCACCCTGGGGGAGGTAGGACTCCTGGAGCACCCTGGGGGGAGGTAGGACTCCTGGAGCACCCTGGGGGGAGGGAGGACTCCTGGAGTGCACCCTGGGGGGAGGTAGGACTCCTGGAGCACCCTGGGGGAGGTAGGACTCCTGGAGCACCCTGGGGGAGGTAGGACTCCTGGAGCACCCTGGGGGAGGTAGGACTCCTGGAGCACCCTGGGGGAGGTAGGACTCCTGGAGCACCCTGGGGGAGGTAGGACTCCTGGAGCACCCTGGGGGGAGGCAGAGACAGAGCGGCAGTGCAGGTTTGAAGATTTCTCACTGCAGCTGTTCACAGCTCTGCTTGCAGCAGTTTCCACCACCTGGATTATCCCAAGCTCTTCCTCCTCTGGCAGACGGAAATTGTGTAGAGATTGTCACAGGATCCTTTTCTGAGCAACGGAGGAGAAGGAATCGCCTTGTAAGTACAACAAAGCTGGCCAGAAGCGTGGCTATTTTGAGACTGTTGTGAGTCTTCCTAAGAGGCTCAACAGATTTCTTTTAATACCTTTGGAGAGACATTAATATGCTCAAAAAGCACATGAAAGAAACACAGACTGGGGCCTTGAGTATCCATAAAATATCTTCCAGGCACCAGTCCCAGGGCATACAATTCCCTGCTGCAGAATGCAAACGAACTCACCAACTAAAGGGAGGTTGTTATTCTGCTGGAGCTTGGACTCGACTCCAATTAGCAGGGCCTGTGCCCCATAATTATTCCTGCTCCTTTTTTCCCTCCCTAAAATAGCCCATTGTGGTGCTGAACCTTTAAAAGGGCATTTCTTAACAATTGATTATTTCCCTTTAAAATGGGTTTGTGAGACAGTCATAAAATCATCTCAAATTTTTCCCACAGAGCTCTTTTCCTGGATTCCTTAAAGTGTATACAATCCATGCTACACAATTTAGCACTCAATTACTGCTCTCCTACTTGGTTCTCTTTCCTATGTGTGTGTATGTGTGCACGTGGGCATGTGTGTGTGTGTGTGTGTGTGTGTGTGTGTGCATGAGTGTGCGTGTGTGTGGTTTTTTTCTATAACCCAATCTAAGATACCGGGTTATATTCTTCTTGAGAGATAGAACCTGTAGCCTTGAATTCCCAACATTTCCCTTTCTCCACACACACCCTGGCTAGCTAGAGCTGAAAACACACGTCCTGGCAAGTAAGAATTAGAACAAGTTTAGTTTCAGGGTTTACAGGAAGCACAGGCTGCGCTGCAGGCAGAGGCTAAAGAGGAGACTGTGCTGAATTCAGGGACGGACAGCAGGGAAGCAGGAAGGGAGAAAGCGCGTGTTTGAACCCAGCTGGTGACACAGAGGACAGCCACTTCCCTCTCCAGTGTGCGACTCAAGCCAATGTCAAATCCATGGAGTTCCCTGGGCCACTCAGTCGCTGCCTGAAAAACTACTGAAAACGGTTTCACTCCCCACAAATTGAGAGGCTGGCGGCCCTTTTAAAGAAGCATATGGAAATCATTTCAAACTCTGCTGCTGGTTGTATTCACATGGGCTCAGTTTTGGGATTTTCTGCATCCTGGGTAGTCAGCCCTCAGAGCCAGAAACGGGAGATGGGGGACCGGCCTCGGAATGTGCTGGAAGGGGGCAGTCAGCACTCCCTGGAAGCACTAGGTTCTTATTAACTGATTGTTGTTTTCCCACGTGGACTGTGTTTAAATCAGAGCACGCGCACACACGTACACACGCGCGGGTGCTTGAGGATGTTGCCTCTGCTGGCTCCATACAGACTCTGTTTTCAGCTGAAGAATTCTCAGAGTTAAGCCTTCCCTCCCTGCAGCATTCTAATCACAGTTTCCAGGGGTTGCTGTTTATCTTGATGAGCAGGGATTTATGTGTGAACACGGCCCTGAGGAAGAAGTGGGGCTCTTTCATTAATCCAAAGTACACCCGTCCAGGGTATTGCTAATCCCCATCCACAAACCCTGTCCTAATGAGGGGAGAGAATTCCATCAGCACCCAAATCATCCGAGGAGAAATCCCTCCCAAGACTAGAACATGCTCCTGAAACTGTCAAAGTCTTGCAGAACTGGCTTAAAAGTTTGGTTGGTTTTTAGAATTGTTGGGCATAATACTTTGGCACAATTTTACAGATAAAACCTTATGGTTAGATCTGGAGTATTCTTTAGTTTTGACTCTTGGATTTGTTTTGTGTTGGTCCCTGTGATTCCCTGAATGTAGTTTTTTGGGGACAATGAATTAGCTCTGATTTGGTGATGGCATTGCTGGGTCCAGAACTTCAGGGCCTTGTACTTGCTACTCCAGCCGTCCTTCTGACATGTTCTGAAAGACATTTCTCCAGCCAGGAAGTATAGTAGTGGGGAACTATTTGTTATTCAGTAAGTTTCTATGCACACATAATGCTTGTACAGAATACAAAGCAAAAACAACAAAAGTATCCATTTCTGCCTCTGGAAGACTGATCAGCTTCTCAGCTAGTACTGGGACTATTGCTTCACTGTGCCCCTGAATGAGGTTAGAGAGCCAGGGTAAAATGCTGCTGGCCTGTATTGTTACAATATGAGCTTTTTCTTTTATAAGGAAACTGTCCCTTTACTCATTGGGCCTCAAATTTTACAACCAAGGTTTTTTAAAGCTGCTTAAGGATTTGTGCTGGCTAACTGCACATGTCAGTATGGCTATTCTGCCTAGTTGTTTGTCAAACAGTAGCCTAGACATTTTTGAGGAGGGATGTAAGGTGGTGGACTCTGGGTAAACCAGACAGTCCTTAAAATGATTGGCCTCAGCCAGTCAGCCGCAGGCCACAACTGAGGACCCGTGGAGAACACAGAGTCATCCAGATCGCAACAGGAAGACACTGCCTGAGATTCTGGCTTTTCTCTAGGTCAACTCTTCCCTGAGTCTCCTTGAGGGTCTGTCCCGCAGGAGCAGACCTGCCCCCCGCACAGCTCTCTGTGTGTGTTGGTGTTTCCGTGTGTCTCCTGTTGGTTCTGTTAAGTTGGAGAATATAAATATCATATAATCATAAATGGTGGCATTTAAGTTAAAACAAACAATTCTTCTTCTTTGAGTAACTTGAATTTGTTTAAAGAAAAAATACAAAATATATCTTGAATTGTTAAAAAAAAACTCATTGCTTAAGGTTTATAGAATTAGTATCCATATATAATTTTAAGAAAAACAGTAAAATATACTCCAGGAAACTAGAGATAACTAAATGTCATTTTAATAGTAAATTATTTTTAAACAGCAAAAACTGTCACTGAAGTTTATACGGAGATATGGGTAATACAGGTGGTCACATATTCATGGTTAATTTACATGAGCAAAACCTCTAAGAAATACAAAACGATATAATAGTGCAGTGCAAAAATTAGACACATATTTGTTTGGTTAGAAGTGATGATAAAATTTACAGTTTGGCCGAAAAAGCTTTACAGTTGTGAATAGCTTTCTTTTGAGAAAGCAGCCTTTTTAGTGTTCACAATCTCACATCACATCTATTTTGTCATGGTTGGAACAAAACGAAGGCTGGCTTCTGAGTCAAAGCGGGAGCAGGTGAGACCCTGGCCACATCAGATCCTCTGCCTAGAGGGAAGCACCAGATGCGTGAGCTTGTGGTACACAGGGCCAGACGGGTGGGATTATGCCACCAGGGTGCATCCCCCAGGGCAGGAGAGCTCCCCTGTGGCAGGGCAAGGAAAACCCTTGTATTATCCAAGATGCAGATACCAACCAGGCAAAGGGCACACCGGGACAAGTCATAACATAGGGCCGCAGTTGCAAAAATAAAGTGATTCCTGGATTTCATAAAAGGACTCTGTATTTTTCACACACTAAATATTAAATTGCTGAGCATAGCTGGGTACACCTATAATTCCAGCACTCTGGGAGGCAAAGGCAGGAAGCTGGCCAGATTTGACTCCCTCTCCCCAACTCCCAGCACAGTTTAGCAACTTAGCAGACTCTGTCTCAAAATAAAAAATAAATAAGTAAAAGGCCTAGAGATGTGGGTCTGTGTGGAAGCCTGAGGTTCAACCTCCAGTACTGTCTCGAAACAAACAAACCAGTAAATAAATCAGTTTCTGCAATTTCTCAGAAGTAGAAATGTCTGTATAAGCTGACATGAAAATTAAGATCTTTTACTCAGAGAGTTTATAAGGTTTATATATCCTCTCATTTTGCTGCCTGCAGTCCCCTCTGCCCCGGGAAGCGCAGGCATTCTGATCACCTGGACGGTGCACGGTGCACAAGCCTGAGACCCACAAAGTAAGTGGCCCTAGCAGGGGGCACTGACGGCCTCCTCAGCAGAGCAGGGCTCAGGTCTCCCTGCCCCATCCAGGGAGACCTTTTGCATCATACTTTATAGCTATAGCACAATGGCCACCTACAGTTCAACAAGTTCTTGTTCTTCTAACTTGAAGGTGACCTTTGCTGTCTGGCTGGTACCGAGAGGGAGGAGCACACAAAGCCTCTGAAAGGAAGATGTCAGCCACCCAGGAAATAATGTCTGCTTACAGCTCTGCCAGATACTTCAGACAAGGATGATAACGCATTTCTCTAGCCTCTCCTGCAGCTAACAAGCTGTGTTTTGGGCAAGTCTATTGCTCGTGTGTGTAAGGCCGCAGCACAGCCACCGCCCCGTGCCTCAGCCTCCCCCAGCTCACTCTGGCTGTCCGAGCATGTTGCCTTTCTCTCTGATCATGGCTGATGGAGCTTTCCTAGGGGTCGTCTCCCCGTGACGGCCGATGAATTCTGATGTGATATTTTCTACCTCTGTGCAGGTTGTATGTAGTTCTTTGGGCCCCAGGGAATGATTATTGTCAGAAAGAAAGTCTGATTAGAGCTGACTGATTAGAAAAATTTGTTACCAACAAGAACACTGAAAAAGTTCATTAGCTTAGCTGAAAAGTCTTCCAATTCAAGTAAGATGTGAAACACAATAGCTGCCTAAGACTGCGGAGAAGGAGGAGGCTAATTATAGTTTCGTAGGAAGCACAGCACAGCTTGGGAACAAGACACCTGGTTTTCCGTTTGGATAGTCACTGGAGCCCCCTCGTGATCCGGAGTAAGTGCTCTGGGTGCGGTGATATTCCTTTCCTGAGGGACACAGTGTATTGTCAGGCAGCAAGCATGTCTTGTAGAGAAACTGGATAACCTTAGAGACACAGAGATTCTGTGAGAACACGCAGAACCACAGACTAACACCCTATTTGCCACACACACAAAAATTGACACTGCTTTTAAAACTACCTTAGCAGTAGCCAGGCACAAAGATAATTTCTAGCAAAATTGTACACTGTGGCTTGCCTGTGAAGGCAGGAATGCTTCAACTTTACAGTCAGGGGCAAACTCTGCAAGGTCTGCTGCCTTGCTCTCCTGGGTTCCCTGGTTTGCACAGGCACAAACATCTAACAAGCATCGTGGGTGCCTTGTCACATATTC